TATATTTTTATTTTTTTGGTACTGGGAATAGAACTCAGGGCCTTGCCCTTGCCAGGCAAGTGCTGTGCAACTGAGCTACATCCTTGACCCTGGTTTATATATATATTTTTTTCAGTACTGGGTATCGAACTCAGGACCTTGTGCTTATGAGGCAGGCATGGTGCCACTGAGCTAAATCCCCACCCCGCTTCATTTTTATTTTTAATAGAAGCAAAACTGACCATTTTTTGATGTCTCCTGAGACCATTTTACTGCTTCCTTCTAATTTCCACAGCCAGCCACTAACTTCTTGCTCAAACAAATCCAACAATTTGTGTTTCCATTCCTCATAGAATTTTGCAAATGCACTTTTTAAAGTAGAGTTTCTCAAACAACCCTATAGAGCACAGAAGTTCAATCTACAGTGCAATATGTTTTGAAGGCAAAACTGAATAATTCCAGTCATTTCCTAATTTAAATAGAAACTTCTGATCAAATTTGTAATTTTAAGCATTTTTCTCTCAATTTTTTTCTTAAAGTTTGAGTGCTGCATATCCTAGAATCTGATTTATAGTATAAATGTATAGTATAAATATATAATGATTTACTTCATTATTTTAAATTTAGTATATCAATACTTTGTAGTGTTCCATAAATAAGACTTTTTTCTTTTGAGACAGGGTTTCACTGTGTAGTTCAGACTGGCCTTGAACTTATTATGTAGCCCAGGCTGGCCTCAAACTCACGGGGATCTTCTTGTCCCAGTCTCTTGAATGTTGGAATTACAGGCATGCACTACCACACCTGGTAAACAAGCCTTTCAAGCCAGCCATTTAATCAATCTTGAGCGCTACTGCCCTGAAGCACAACTCCGGTTTTATATTACTCCTCTGCTGAAAACCTTCAAGGGCTACATTCAAAGTAGAATTCTAAATAGTCCCTTCCTCTCACCTCCAGCTCAGCCCTGGCTCCTCCTCACTTCTTATTGCTGCCCACCTATTCCCTGTTGCTGACCAGTCTCTTCATAGTCAGATTTGCTCCTGTCATAATCTTTTGCATTTGGATTTGAGAACTTCATGGCTTTTTAGTTCTTGGAGACACACCAATGACTGACTCCCTTTTTTTGTTTCTACAGGATTTGGTCAGACCCAAGCATTTCATTCTTCTAGTCAGTGAAACAGAAGTTGGACAACCTGAGGGATTACAGTACAAATGCCTGAGGTGTGTTTGAGACAGTACCCTGCTCCTTCTGAGAGGCTGGCCAGCTCCCCTTGGTGCATTCATGTTGACCCTCCCTTGGGAATTCCTTCTTCCACTGCTGTCTGTTGAGCTCTGCTGGCTTCTGAAGCCCAACTGAAAAATCCCTTCTTTCCCCAACTGTCCTTGTCCAGAATTGTCCTTCCTTTCCTATCCTCTTCTCCCCTCATCTTGAGCAAGTATGTTTTCAGGGGAGTTAGACAATGTCCTATTTGGAGGCGATGCATGCTTGGGTTTTCTCCTTTATTATTAGCCTCTCCTAGTACTTTATTACCTCTCTTCTTTATCCAAATTTGTTTAAAGGTATTCTAAATAAAGGAACAGATTGCTATACATTTAAAAAGCCAACTTGACAAAGAATTGTATTTTTTTTTTTTTTTTGGTACTGGGGATCAAACTTGGGTCCTTGCGCTTGCACAGCAGGCAGTGAAACCACTGAGTTAAATCCCCGGCCGAAGAATTGTATTTTTAATATTTTTAATAGTAAAGAATTGTATTTAAAAAGCAAAATGAAAAACTTTAAGATTGAGTGTCATTACCAGAAGTCAAAATTATATTCCAGCAGTTTCTATCTTACTAGGAAGGTGTACAATTAGGGGAATTATCCTTCAGTCTTTACTGGCCATAGGTCCATCTATGGCACAAAAAAAACATCAGCTCTGGCTACAGAGTGGAGCTCTGTTGTCGGCCCCTCCTTCAACATACTGTCTACATCTGTGGGTAAAAACTGAACCTTAGTGATGTGATGGGTCTCCTTCCTGCCTTTCCTTTAGCTCACAGTAGTAGGGGCTGTTTCAAATGTGCGGTCTTCTGAAAGTGTCTTTTGTTATTGTGATCCAGAGCTTCCTTTACCTGGTGAGGCTGGAAAGGGAACAAATGGGTCGAGGTGAATTTAAAAAGTGGGAACTGGCTGTGGGCAGAGAGCAAAGAAGTGACTGTCCAGTTTAGGACTAATATTGCTGAAGACCAAAGTGGGCAGTTCACCCTAAATGTTTTCCTTGCAAGCCCCACCTTGTGGAAAAATCCTCCAGTGACCTGGCACCATGATGATGTACTCAGATTGCTCAACACCTTGGGAGTTTCTTTGCTTTGACAAGTGTGGATTTTTTTAAGGTTAGAGATATACTTCTTGGTGTTTTTTTCCTTGTGGCTTCATTCAGTTTGTTTTCTTACAAAAATTACTCATATACAGGACATTGATGTTTCCAGACACATTGAATAGGTCTCAAAACAATTGCTCACTAATCAAACCAATTTTCAAAGCTGAAGAAAAAGACTCACTCACCAAGCATGAGATCACTTCTTCAAGTTCATTACCTCTTGTCCTTACTCAAGTTGTTTTTTTTTTGCCTTAAAGAACACACCCACACCTCAAACTCTACTCATTCTAAGGAAATCTGAATTAACAATAACAATAAAAAAGATAAATGCGAGAAGGAGAAATAAGAAACATATTATGCTGTTTCCTTAGCTCTGACCCTGAAGCTGAGGTTAAGGGCAGACAGTTGAATGGTTTAGGATACAAAGATGGGTGTGGAGATTTTAGATCAGACAATTGATGTCAGCTTAAGTGTAGGGCAGGATGTGTCCTTGATGATGATGAAGAGAGCTTATTTCCATGGCTGTGTTACTCATAGGTCATAAGACATATCATTTTTATTTATTTATTTGTTTAATTTTTGCTTTAAAGCTCTACCTGCATTGACCAGTATGGTAGTGATTAGTTACATGAAATTGTTTAAAGTCAAATGAATTCAACTCAGTAGAAGCAAAAATTCAGTTCTTTAGTTGTTCTAGACACTTTTTAAGCACCCTAATGCCACATGTGGTAGTAGCTGTCATCTAGAACATTCCAATGTCACAAAAAATTCTATCAGATAGTGCTGCTTGAGGTTCCTGATGCTCCCTGTGATGATCACAGTCACCCACTGCCTGAAATCAAGGACTAAGTATGAAGTGGCCCAAGTTCTCCCGAGTGTTGGCATTGCCCCTGGGGAGCATAGCCCTGGGGCAGGAATACAGTGGAGACTCTGTGAGGGAGGTTGGATGGGACACCTCCTCATGATGTGGTCTCTGTCCCAGTTAGGTAACGATGCCCCTCAGGTTTGTGGGCAGCCTGCATGGCCATCAGGCTCAGATTCCAGAGCAGGGTACACCAGAGTCTAGGGCTCACTAATTGGTGTTGGCTCTACTACTCTGCCATAAAGATAAACTTGAGTCATTCATAGGAAAACCAATTCACCTTGAGACTATAATGTTAAGTGAAATAAGTCAGACACATGAGCTTAAATATTACATGGTTTCTCTTGTATGAGAAGCCCAAAGTATAAATAAAGAGCAAACTAAGAGATAATAGGAAACAGAGAGATAGATCTTTTTCAAATGGGTAGGGGATCAAGAGATAGAGGGGGGGGGAAGGGGAGGCAGAAGTGATGAAAATAATTGAGATGTGTTATGTATATGGACTGAGTCTCCACAAGAATGTAATCATTATGTTGTACAAATATGTACTAATAAAAAATTCAAACTGAAAGAAAGAATGTAAGCAGAAAAGATAAAAAAGAAATTCTGACATTTCATTTGTTTTTCGTGACTAAATAGCATCTAAGTTCCCCTTTGTATTTAAAAGTCTGAGTCTTGTCAGATAGTTAAAAAAAATTAAGTTGATTTTCTACTTAATATGGCAGAAAGCAAAACTGTATTGTAAGCAGAAAGTGAAACAAAATTTTCTCCTCATTGGGAAGGTTACTCAAGAGAAAGAACTATTTCTTCACAAAGTTTGAAAACTACAGAATCTAATTTTTACATATAACTCAAATATATATTAAAAAACTCAAACGAGTTCTTTCCAGTTGTGCTTATCACCTATACTCGGGCAATAAATGGTCAGTGAACATCACTATCAGTATGAAAAAAACATTGAAATTAATACAAATTCTTAAATGCCTTAAAAATCTTTAGAGCTAGCTAGAAGTGGGGCTTTAGACTTACAAATATAAACAAAAATATAAGTATAAATAACACTAGCATGATTGGAAACCTAATTTGTATTTTGTGTAAAAATGTTAGAACAAAAAATATATTTAGGACCTGTGGATGCTAGCAGATCAATTAATTGGTGGAGAGTAAAAATAAATCATGCAAGAAAAACATTGTGTAAAGAAAGCTCATTTGTTGCCTTATTTCAACTGGCACATTTATTAAGCAGAAATCTGCAGAGAAGAACTGTGAGTGAATTGCTCCATAAATCCTATGAGTTGGCAAGACCAAATGATTTCTGACAAGATCTGGAAACTTTCTCTCTCCTAGGCTAAAGGACAGATGATTAAGAAAGAACATGACTGTTTCCTTAAATTTCTGTTGCTTTTCTAACTCCACACCTAGTAAGTTAGGGGTCTGTCAAGGTATCTGTCCATCTGCTATTTAATTAGGGGCACAGAGGCTTCCCCAGGGTTCTTGAGTGTTTGTTGGTAATTCTGTGGAGGAAATTTTAAGGTTGGAATCAATAGACCTGACTAACACTCCCAGAAGTTTAACCTCAGTTCTGAATACAGGACAATAACATCAAAAGTTTTAAGAAAACAATTTGTGTGGGTCAGAGTAAGAGTGAACAGAACAATTGCAATATCCTAAATTACCAAAGGTGACAGATTCTGTTAACTTAGTCCCCTTTTCCTCTCAGCCCTCTAGCTTCACTCCCAGGAAAGCAATCCAACCTTAGAGAGCTCAGCCAGCCTCCCAGTGGATGAAGTCAGTCTACTCACAGAGCTGCTGCCTTCTCCTCCTTCTGGCGCTGCACCAGCCCACTCTGTAGCCCTTGCCTGCCCAAGGTGCTTTTCTACCCTGCAGCAATTCTCTGGGCCTCTGGTCCAGGGACAGTGGTTGTGATTGGGGGAGGCATCTCACATGGGCTGAGCCTGGTGCTGCCTGAACCTGCCTGGCTGAGCAGAGTTAGTTGCAGGAAGCCCTGTGAGCAGATTGCTGCTGCTTCACTTAGGAATTGGTGATTCTAACCCGTGGAAGTGCCTTGACAGGGCTCAGCTCATCACTTTTTTGAGTTCCTCCTAAGTTTGGACTTTACTACCAGACTACAACCTCCGGATTCTGTTTTTATTTTTATTTGACTTGCTTTGTTTGTGTGATTTGATCATTGCTTCTGCCTTTGTGTATGAAAAGGCCTGTTAACTCTCACTTCTCCTAAGGATGCTGGTGTCTGGAGCTTGCATCTGCTGCATGAGGGGGTGCTGATGGTACATAGCATAGGGATAGTAACTGCCTGAGTAAGGCTCACACTGTGGGTTGTCCAGAGACTAAGAAGGAGCAAGAGATATAGAAGCAAACAGATGGGAGAAACTCAGGCAAAGGGGGGCTCAAGTAATTACCTGGTGACATCCAATCCTGTCTTCCTTTCTGTGTCCTTCATCATTGCACATTGCTCCATGCCTCCTTTATCTGATGTTAGGGATGGGGAAGGGTGACAGTGTTAGAATTTGTTGGGTGCTTTAATCAATAAACTTGGGAGTTCCTCAGGGTCAGGATCATTTCTGTCACCAGGTAGGTTTTTCAGTACAGTGTCTATCAGGGAGTGCACTGAGATGGATCCCACGAGAGGGAGAGGGGATTCAAGCTGCAGTATAAGTGGAAAGCCTCGGATACGCCCCACGCTGGGACTTGGGGAGGAACATGGCCAGCCAGTCAGAGGTCTCCACTGGGTCGCTCCCTGGTCTGCCCTGGCACGTGGGTCACCCTAGGAAGGCAGCTTCTTGAGCTGAGGCAACTCCTGATGGTGACGGAGGCCTGGAGGCTGCCAGTGCTCCCAACAGCTGGGCAACAAATGTTCCCTGGAACACCTGTTGTCCCTGAAGAGGCACTGTGTGGGGTGTATTGGTCCATCACCACCCCTCATTCCTCCTTAGCTCTCTGGGGCCTGGTTAGATAAATTATGGTAACTCACAGAATAGAATTCTACGCAGCAGGTAAGAATGATGCCACAGGAAAACATTTAATGCCATGGAAATAAGTTCAATAATTTATTCAACAAATATTTATTGAAAACCTATGATGTGCTAGCCATCCTTTTAGGTGCTAAAGATAAAAACAAACATACAAACAGTTTATAAAATAGTTTGTGTGATTTGACACATTTTTATTTTTAAAGCTTTGTCTATATATGAATTTAAAAGTGAGGAAGAATGTACAGCAAATATTAACAAGAATATATCTGGGTGTAAAATATGAGTGACATTAATGTTCTTTCATGAAGTTCATATACTAACAAGGGATCTATATTTTAATTATAAAAACGAAAATATGTAAAATATTAAAAGCACTTTCTCTTTAGGGAATCACTGCGATAAAGTAAAAAGGAAAAATAATCTAAAAACATTTTCAAAACAGATAATGTAAACACAAACCCCAATAATAAGAGATAGAGAGAGCCTTGTCACTTCTTTGCTTGCTTGCTTTTTCTGTCTTCTGGACACCTTGAACTGTTTCCTCTGCGCTGCCCTTCTGGCATGCCACCCTGCCTTTGAGCCAGCCAACTATGAACTGAAAACTCTACAGGCTGAGCTGAGTTACCCCAGCATCAACCCAGCAGCTGAGCATAGAATTACAGTGCACAAAGGGCAGTGCACAAGTTTGGAAAGGAAGAGGTCTGGCAAGAAGAGCACAAGCCACAGCTCATTAGGTGTGACTCGTGCAAGCTTTCACTGGCCACTTCTGGGCCACATTCCACCATTCCCAGCCCAGAGGTGGGGGCTTCCTGGCTGCTGTTCCACCACTGCCAGCCCAGAGGAACGGGCTTCTGGGCTGCTGTTCCACTGCTCCCAGCCCAGAGGAGGTGAGCCCCATGGGTGCCAACAGCACAGCCCCCCCCCTCCCCCCGCCATCGAAATGAGAAGACAAGTAAACAAGTCTCCAAACCAGACTTCCAGATTACCTACAACAACCCCATTTTTTCCTTTCCCTTCTTTCTTTTCCCCTGCCCCTCCCACTACCCCTACCCCTTTGGACCTTTTCTTCCTATTTTACATTATCGATTATTCATTCTAATTATTGGTA